CAACAACAATATACATAAGGCAGCCACTATCAATCCCTAAAAATCTTTCAGCATACTAGGAGAATATTGACTCAAGGATTTATCACCATCCGTTAGTTCTTGATAAATATATACAAAATTCTCCACCCCAAATATGTATTTAAACAGAGGCAAAGTAGTCTTACCTTAGTTTCTAGGAATTTATCCTCTAAACTTGTACTCCAAGAACTGAAACTCTTCTTCAAACTTTTACTTGAAAATGGGGCAATACTCAAGGACCCAAGGTTTTCTAGGGGTGCTGATTGAAGCCAAGAGAGACCAAGAGAGAACTTAAGAAATCTGAAAATTTTGCAAGTTAAAAATGAAGCAAAAGATCTGATCTTTATCCCTTTTAAAAGGAGGTGTAATGGCCGAATTTCTTGACTAATTTTGGCCATATATTGTCAAGTAGGTGACCTACCTACTTGGCCCCACCTACTTGGCCTTTTAACTTGGGCTTTTGGGAACTTCAACACTTGTTGGGCCCTACTCCGAATTATCCCTCTATTCATGTCAATTTGGGCCATAATTAATGCAAGTAGGTGGTCCACCTATTTGGACTTTTCACTTGGGCCTTTTTGGACTTAAGACTATTGGGCCTTGGCTGTCCATTTTTCCCTTATCCTTCTACTTAACTTGGGCCAAATTAATGCAAGTAGGTGGTAGTGCATTTGGCCCAATTACCACCTTACTACCTCTAGTTTAAATACTTCCATCGGAGTTAACTTGCAGTACACATGCTGAAACGTGCAAAGCGTTACATCACCTTCCGAGCTAGTTTAAACCAACACTAATCATATAAGAAGCACAGTCCCTCACCTCTACTATAAGGCTATGTCAAGTATCACATGAATAGAACTAGCATACGCATAATACATGCTGTTACAGATAAATTCTTAAATTATGGTACGTGCTGACATCCATTGAGGTCTGGATAAGAACAAGTAAAATGGAAAGAAGAACTACGGGCAAAAATCACTGGAAGAAGCATTCTAACAGTACAAAAATATTGTCTTATTACAAAGACATAATCCACCTCCTTATAACAGAGAACAGAAACAAGACAGGGAATCTAACACAAAATAACTAAGACTCAAAAAAGTAGGATCAGAAGAACGTCAGATGATCAGGTCAAGACCAATTGCTCAACGTACCATCTTTGCTCAAAGACCAAATTTCCCACGTGTCTGTTTCATACTTTGTTCAAGACAAAACTGCAGAAGAACACTTCCTTAGAAAAAGGATCATGTGTAGAGTTACAATAATCAAAAGTTTCCACTTGGATCTACGACAATCTTAGGAAAATATATCCTAATAACTAAACAGGAGGAGCCAGTCTAAAATACCTTTGTTCATCCTAATTGAAGGTCAAGAAAAAATGAAAGAAAATCTGGATTTCAGCACCATGCCACCGGTCTGTGTTGTCCCATTTTATATGTATATGAATGTGAGGAACATTCCTGAAAAGAAGGCGTAATATGAATGTGAGGAACATTCCTAATTGAAGGTAAAAAAAAAATGAAATAAGTTGGAACTTAACAAAAAGTGGGAACATGCAAAAAAGTTCCCACTAAACATTAAGTGTAAAGGAAAACAACAGTATTATGTGATGTGCACACCGAAACACGCAATAACAGATGAAAGAAGCTCAATAGTAGAAAGACTAGAAAGAGATTAGATTGATGAACTTCTGTATTAGCAACTGATGAAAGAAAAGTTAGGTAAATATACTACCTTTCATTGACAACTCATGAAAGAAAGTTCGGCAAGATTTGAAATTCTTTCATCTTCATCTTCATCTTCCAAACAGTTGGCCATTTCATTTATATAAACTTCCACCTAATAATGATACACGCAAATCAAGATGATAAAATTCTGACACATGAAAGCTAAGTATAAATGTCTGATAGTCCAGCCAAACCTTCATCTCATTCAGTATTAGATGAGAATGAACGATCTCTTAATCATGCATACATATGCTCTGTCCATGGCTCTTAACAGATTAGGAAAACGAACTGCCAGATCTCCAAGACCAACCGTGCAATTTGATCAGACTGTTTCAGATGGTACACTCTCCACAACGGTGAAAAGAAGCTGGAGATTTGCATCACTAAGAAGTAATATACACACATGTTTAGAACTTTTTACAAAAATCTTAAATAATTGATGACGCTCAAAATACACCACAAATCAACTTCCCTTTCTCAATTAAGCACAAAGATAATGGCTTCGGTTGGTAATAACAAATAGTCCACATGCAAACTTTTTCCACATAGGAAATCTTCTCATTCTCATTACTTCTATAAAAAACCAAGAATCATTTAAGTGACAACAACTCAAACTCAAGAGGTGACTCAACTCATTAACACTTTCACATGCTCTTGACTCAATTAGGAATTTTCAAAATCACCACTTTTTCAGCTTACATGCCCTTACAAGAAAGAAGTGTCCCAAAACCGCACACACATATAAACAAGACATGGGACAACAAAGATGCAATACTCACACTCACAAAGAATCATCTCATGTACACAAATGTCACACCATTCATTGGCTTGCCATACTTTCAATCATTATTGACTCAACTCCATTTGGTTAGAAATCTCAAAGGACTTTGGTAAGCTTGTAATATAGGCTTAGGAAAGGTTAGGATATCATTTAGGTATAAGTGATTACACCCTCCTTGAACACTACACAACAACTCATCATTTCCAACTTTCTCCACTCTTCTTCACTTTTCAAACTCATGCACATTCCACACTATTTTTCATTATTCTTTTCTTATTTCTACTCTAGAATCCCCCACGTACAACCATTTTCAACTTTTGGAGGATTCAAGTCTCATTTATTCATTTTCTTTCTTTAAGACTTTTCATCCAACCCTCAATTTCTCTCTTCTTTTTTTATCTTCTTTTTTATTCTATCAAGCGGATGTGGTAAGCATCACTTGAATGAATTTCCCATAACACCACCAACTTAGGTTTTTAGCCTCGATTTTTTTCACAACCTCAAGTTCAAGGAGGGAAGGGTTCAAAAGTGGGTTACTTTTTTCAAAAAGGATAAGACTTGTAATGTGGTTGCCAATAAAAAAGATTAAGCTCAAAGGGGACAACTAAGGATATATTTAGTGCAAAGGTGGGATTTTTAGGCCAAGTGGACTTCAAGAACATCAAAGAAAGCCTAAGATCATTTCTTCAACAAAACTCAATCAAGACCAACATTTCAAAACCAGCCGGGGAAGTTCTAGGTGACAAAAGCGAACACAAGGCATTAATTATTCAATAACTCATCACACATGGCCTGCAAATCAATCAAAATGGTTCAAAATCTTACTTCCTTTTCAAAATACAAGTAGCATTGACATTTTAACCGCTAACGAATCAGAAGTCGCAAAAAGAGTTATAAGAGTTGTCACAAATCATTCATAACATGCTCAAGCTTTTTAAAAAGGAGAGGTATGCTCATGATTCACATGCATGACTATGCTCTTAGTACCAACCAAGTCAAAACATTCCCAAAATGATGATGATTTTGCCTTTAAGAAAGCCGTCAACCAATCCATCAACAGGCAACCTCATGCATCTATTTGGGAACGGCTACTCAAACTTCGACACAATCAATGCCAATCAAACATTCACAAGCAAACGATGATTTAACCTTAAGAAGGACGTCACTCTCTATCCATCATCGGGCATCGTTAATCCAAATCTTATTATAAAAAAAATAACAAAGAAGCTACAAACTACAAATCAACAGGGAAAAGATTGAGAAGGCAAAAATCATTACGAAGTAGTTTGATAGAAAAAATGATCTTGGAAAATTGTAATTGAGCATAAGATGAA